ATCTATCTATCTATCTATCTATCTATCTATCTATCTATCTATCTATCTATCTATCTATCTATCTATCATCTGTCTATCTATCTATCTATCTATCAAATCTCTCTCTCTCTCTCTCTAATCTCTATACCTACCTACCTACCTACCTACCTACCTACCTACCTACCTACAGGAGATAACACCAGGATAGTCACACTGTGACCAATATTTTAATGAGAAATGAATAAAAAAATTTATTTTAAAGGAATAAAATGAGATTTGAAGGAACACAAGGATATTTATACGTCCATTCAGCCTATTTGCATATAAAGTGCATGGCTCAGTACATTTTAGCACAATAATTATCAGGATATTTTTTTCCGTTCGGTATGTCTAATAAGACTTTCTGATAGTTAAATAAGGCAAATATCTATATTCTGTCCAGATGTCCATAGAAAAAGCCTTGAGTGAGCCTGCTACTGAGTAATACATACATTTTATTTTCTATTATATGACTTTAAAACAACCCTCATGGAGACAACGGCGATTTTTCTGAGTATTTTAACTTATCCAAATCACCGATTTGTTTCTTATAAACATTTCTGGATGTTGGGATCTGTCTTAGAATCAATGTGCCGATGCGAGAAATATGTTAAACTGCTCCCTCTACAAATCATCATCGCCCCTTCTTTTAACGGCCCCATAATCCCTTGCAGGGTGGAGTCTGGGACCCTGAATGGAGCTAGCAGAGTGTTTACTGGCCGGATGCCCTTCCTGTCGCCAATGGGGAGTTTTGTTCAGCAGATAATATTCCCGTTGTGCCTAGAGAGAGAAATATCTGCCTCTACCTAGGATTGAACTCACAACCTCCTGATTATGAGGCGGGAGCTCCACTCCTAGGCCACCGCACCCCTCCTTCTCTCTAAAAATCACCTTGCCTTATTTATGTACCCACGCATGACAACTATAAGAAAGAAATAATATAAAGAGCACCCAACAGTGTAACAAACTCCAACTTTACACTGTTCTCTAAGCGCGTATCCAATTCATACGAGCTCAATGGAACCTCCAGCTGTAGAGATGCTCTACCCTGAAAAACTAGCAGCTCTTCTAAAAGAGAAGCCATGTCTCACAAGCCATTAGTTGTTGCTATAAAAAACAGAAAGCCAGAGTATTTAGTCTGAGCAGGACCAAAAGTGGATTTACGAGAGGTCCCAATGATGCAGAGATAGGCAGGAATGGTTAGGAAAAAGACAGGCAGAACAAAAAAATAAAAAAGCTTCTGAAATATGACTTTAAAATGAGTTAACTATTTGGGATCCAATCGGCAGAAAGGACAGACTGTAAATTAAGATAAAGAGCCAACGACAGCAACAAAACTCTACCACGTTCAATGCATTCCTTTTGCAATAGACATGCTTCCCGGAGAATCAGATAGTCTGTTGCCAGAACTGGAGGCTCCATCAGGGGGAAAACCCACATGTGGGCTTTACTTCCAAGTAAGCATAAGGGGCTGATAGACCTGGGGGGGGGGGATCTGTGTCCTTTTCTTTGCTGTGTGGTGGTTCATATTGGGTTGCATTGCATGGAGTTGCCCTGAGCAAGGGGTCAGTCTAGAAGACCTTCGTGGTCCCTTCCAGCCTTAGAATTCCATGAAAACCAAGAACATAAAATGTATGAACTGCATGGGGTTGCCCTGAGCAAGGGGTC